GTTTTCCTATAACTTCATCCTGTGAGCAGCCTTGTCCGATCCAGCCTGCTGCACTTGGCTGTGGACTTGGGCACACACTGCTGCTCCTCAACAATCATCCATAGCTCCCCATTCCCCCTGAGGCCTGGCAGCGCTCATTCTACCTGAGCTGGCCCTCCTGCCTTTCCCTCGCAATCGGGCCATCTTCCTGCTGGTCCCTCTCTTGGGTGGTCAGGCCCGTTCTTGGTTCGGAGCCCTTTGGGGCTCCATATTCATCAGCATCTGTCATGGTCGGCAGCAGTGACTGCTAGGGACGTGGAGGTCTGCCGTTAGCAGGCAGCAGACAATGTCGGCCTCACATCTTCTCAGGGTGATGCCGGCCCCAAGCCATCCAGGCTCGACTTAGGGAAGAATCTCCACGGGACAGTGCTGGGGCCTGTTCCAGACCTGCGATGCCGGTCTGCAGGGGCCTCCGGGCTCCTCCATTTGTTTTCACGGAACTCGCCTTGCACAGCCCTGGCAGCCTGCAGTGAGGGTCTTTGCAAGACGCCACCAGGGAAAGCTGTGAGGCTGAGAGACTTCCTGCAGGTGCAGAATCTGGCCTGCCTGTCCCTCTCCTGGGCACAGCTTTGATTGTGGCTGATGTGCACCCTTATCCTCATCCATGTTGGTCCCTGCTCACCTTGGCCTCCAGGGAGCTCGAGCCCTCTAGGTGGCCGGGCCCAGGCATGCACCCCTGGCTTCCTGCCTCTGTCCATTCCCCTCATTTCCTCGTGACCTTAAGTTACTCTGTTAGTGGTTCGTTTGTCTGCCTACCCTTGTTAGAAAACGATGGAGTACAAGATAAATAAATGCTGTACTGACCGGTGTGATGGGTCCCCAGCCTTGTCCACTGTCCTTGGCCTTTTAACCCCCCATCCTTGAAGCCACCAGTTTTGGGAGGCCCCACGCCCTCTCCCTGTCTGCTCGGCCACTCACTGTCTCCATTGCTCGGGCCACAGCCCCTAAAACATGCTTATTTTTCAGGATTCCATCCTCTGGGCACGAGCGCATTGTGTGCCCTTTGGTGTACAAAGGTGCGCGGGTGGTTCAGGGTGGACGTCACCTGCTCGGGTCCCAGCCAGACACAGGGCTTTGGGGACACTCGTCTGGTCAGCTGTGACGCTCCTTTGCCAGCTGATTTCCCCCGTCCCTGGGGTTAGGGGCTCTCGGCCACCTGGGGAGGTGCCCGGTGTCCGACACAGCGCCACGTGCAGTTGAAGCGTGTGAGGATGGGAGGTGCTTAGTGAACACTGTGTTGTCGCTCAGAACCCCCAGGGCTGGGGGCGTAGTCGGAGTGGGCAGTGACTGCTCATGGGTTCGGGTCTCCTTTTGGGGTGACAGGAATGTTCCACAGGTAGAGGTGGTGGCTGCACAGCACTGTGGGTGTGCTAGCTGCCATGAACCGAACACTTCTAAATGGTTTATTTTATGTCATGTGGGTTATACCTCCATTTTTTTAAAGAAAAGGATAAAAAAAAAAAAAAACCTTAAAAAAAAACCCCAACTAGTTGGGTGTGGCATGTCCAGAATAGGCCAATTGACTGAGACAGGAAGTAGCTGGAGCTGCCTCGGCTGGTGGGAAGTGCTGGGGGAAAAGGGAAGGGTGTTACTACTGGCAAAGGGAACAGGGTTCTTTTGGGGGCAAAGATGTTCTAAAATTGATTGTGGTGATGGTTGCAGGGCTCTGTGAATACACTAAAAACCGCTGAATTTTAAATGGAAGATTGTAAAGTATGTGAGTTATATCTTAATAAAAGTTATTATTAAAAACAAAGAAAACCCTGCCTGTGGCATGTCCTGGAGAGAAGCCACAGCACACACCACTCCAGCAGCCATGAGCTCGGAGCCCGCAGGCTGGTTCGGGGTGAGTTGGGGTGCGCCTTGGCTCCCGGGAGCCCTGGTGGGATCGAGCCATGTGCTGCGCTGCTTTTCCCCATCGGGACCAGCCGTGTTCAGACGGCCAGTGTCTTAGCTTAGGGGCGTCACAGAGCCTCACGGAATCTGATGAAAGGTGTGCACACTCTGCTTTGGGGGTTGGGGGATGCATGTAGAGCATTTTGAGTATAATTTCAGGGGACACATGGGCCCTCCAAAGGCTCCCAGTTCAGAGCCCCTCCAGGGGTTACTCGGGCCTCGGTCAGCCTCCAGGTCTCCGGGCTGGGGTGTCGTGCTGCTGTAGCTGTAGCTGTCCGCTCGCTGGGTCTCAGCCCAGGACGGATGCGGGACAAGTGGTGGGAGCTGGCTCCGCAGGCCTCTGCTCCACTCACCCTGCCACCCGGTCCTTCCCCTCGTCACTGACTCTCCCACCTGCGTGTGGCCATGGAGGCTCACGCCGGCCTCACTGGGTCTGACTTCCACCTGTTTCTCACGTGGCGACGCTGACAGCTCTCGAGATACCGATGTACCTGTCCCAGCCCACGTTTTTCATAAACTCGTGGCTGTGGCCTTCGGGAGCCGGAGCTGGAGCTCTCGGACTTCAGGTGGGCGTGGTCCTCAGAGGCGGGTGGGTGGGGAGGGGCCAAAGGCTGCAGGAATGATTTATCCAGTTGATTTGTTATTGATGCAAATTCAGTATTAATAACTGGTGCTTTATTAACGGCTTTGTCTCCACGAGGCTCCTGTCCCTCTTCTGTTGTAATTACAACCACAGGGTTCCCAAGGAATCTTCTAGAACAGTGGTTCTCAACCTTCCTAATGCCGCGACCCTTTAATACAGTTCCTCATGTTGTGGTGACTCCCAACCATAAAAAAATTATTTTCGTTGCTACTTCATAACTGTAATTTTGCTACTGTTATGAATCGTAATGTAAATATCTGATGTGCAGGATGTATTTTCATTGTTACAAATTGCACATAATTAAAGCATCGTGATTAATCACAAAAACAATATGTAATTATATATGTGTTTTCCAATGGTCTTAGGCGACCCCTGTGAAAGGGTCGTTCGACCCCCAAAGGAGTCGCGACCCAAAGGTTGAGAACCGCTGTTCTAGAAGGTGGTGCTTCGCAGCTTGTGCGCCCAAGGGACATGGGGTTGCAGCTGTCTTGAGTGACTGTCATCTTTTCCCAACTTCTAGGAGGGAGAACTCTGAGCAGACTCTCCTCCATGCTACATTTTGCAGGGGTTTCTCTTCAGTTTGGGGCCTGCGGCCAGGCGGTGCAGCGGGTGGCGGGCAGCGGGAGCCCTGGAGAGGAGTTGTAACGGGGACCCTGGAGCCCGGAGACGCCGCGCGGGCAGCCTCGGCACTCGCCTCATTTCCTGCACACATGTTCGTGCTGTGATTTACTGTGTGTCTGTATGTCATACATTTGTTTCTTATAGCAAAGTTGTCCCTAGTTATTGGTGGAATTTTGAAACAAGAAAGCCTGGTCGCTCACGAGGAGCGAGGGGTCTCTGGGGTAAGCCTGTGGACTGAGGAACTGGGGTGTTGGAGGGTCAGGCTGCTCAGAGGAGCCTAGAGAGGCGACCGCTGAGGGGCAGGCTACCCCGTGTCTTGGACTGGTCGTTGTGCCTCGGTTTCCCTGGTGTCGGGAAGCAGTGCCCCCTGGAGCCAGGACACCAGGCAAGTGAGATGTAGGGACGCGTGGCATCGTCCTGCCTTGGGCACCCAGTCCAGCCTCGTTTTATGGAGGGAGGAGGGCCTCATGTGGGCCTCAGCTGGGGAGCAGAGTCCTGGGACCCCTGGGCTAGACATTTTGGGGCAGCAACATCCAGCTGACCGGCTGGCCTCCGTCACCCATCCACCTGGCGTGGGCATCACCAGGTCTGCCACTTGGTGCAACGTGTGCAGAATGTTTACTGACGTGAGAGCAAACCCATTCTGATCACGTCCCCCACACCCAGCCTGTGCTTGGGGACTTCATGTGCCCCCCCCCACCCCCCAAACATTCACGAGGTCAGTGGTGTCACTGACTCCGTGTGACCAAGGGAGAAACTGAGGCACAGACGTGTGACTTCCACTGAGCCTCTCGGCTCCTACCTGGAGGTGCCACGCCTGTGCTCCGAGAGGCGCCATCACCCACAGCGAGGCGCTGGAGGAGCTAGGCCTGGCCTCTGGGCAGAGCCCGTGGGAGACAGACTTGCTTTCTCCCAGCATCTGGAGACCGCACTTCACGCCCACTCGCTAAGCCTGCCTCTTCCACACACGGGGTTAGTGATAGCAGCTGCTAGAAGGTGCCAGGTGATGGCTAAGTGGACGCCCCCTGGCCCCGTGCGGGTGGGGTGGGGGTAGGAGTGGAAGGAGCGCCGGGCGAGTGTGCCGGGGACCAGCTGCAGTCCCAGCGCGGCCTCCCGGGAACGCCTTCCCCCGCTCTCGGCTCACCTGGGCCTCCTTCTCAGGGGGAGCCGGGGGTGGCAGTGCCACCTGCTGGGATGAGGGATGGGCAGCCTGGGTACAGGATAGTGGGCGTCTGGACGTGTCTGGAGAGTCCTTCCTAGCGATTCGGCTCCTCCCTGGGCCTGGAGCCAAGCCTGGGGCTGGAGGAGCGTTTTGTTCCTTATGCCCTTGACCTTCTGAGTGCTGGCGGGTCCACCATCAAGCCTGCCTGTTCCTGCTCAAAAGCCTGGCTGCCCACTCACCCCTTGGGTGTGGCGGGGTGCACCTGCCCCCCAAACTGCTCATTTGTCAGGTCAACATTGGTTAAGCACCTGCTCGCTCCTGGAGACTCAGAGATGAGTCAGCCGGTCTCGGCTTCAGGCTGTGGGACGACCCAGGGAGGAGGGACACTCCTGCTGCAGGACCTGAGCCCATCTGGGACCCAGGCCCCGCACAGGGGTGGTGTGCCCTGTGCCCAACTGAGCTGGTCTGGTTGGTGCCCAGGGATGTTCGCTGAATGAATGAAGGAACCAGAGACCCGCAGGTCTGACGGCACATACCGCCGGGCGCCCAGCATCCTGTCCTGGCCCAGCCCACTGTGGGATGGGCTGCCCAGCCCCTCTGCCTCCTGTGCCCTCACTGCCCTTCCTGCCTCTCCCCCAGGACCTCCCACTCCCGGGCCAAGGCCGAGGCAGCCCTCACTGCGGCCCAGAAGGCCCAGGAGGAAGCACGGATCGCCAGGATCACTGCCAAAGAGTTCTCACCTTCCTTCCAGCACAGGGAAAACGGTGAGTCGGGCGCCAGGCGGGTGGGGCAGGGTGTCCTCCAAGGCCACGTTCCAGCAGGTGCTGCCCGCTGCCGTCTCCCCTCGTGTTCACGCTCCTTCACGATGATGTGTGTCCCTGCAAGGGCCTTGGCACACTCCTCCCTCACACGTGTCAGCACCTCTCCCTGCCTCCGGGGCTGTGTCCCTGTGTGCACGCGTTTCCATGCATCACCCTCTGCTTTCCATGATGGTGAACGTCTCTGTGCTCTGCGTGTGCATGTGGTCTCTCCCTGCCCTTCCCCCAATGTTATGCTAGAACTTTCTGTGACAAACCAACTATTCTATAACTGCTCTGTTCAAAAAGGTCACTAGTGGCCATGTGGGCTAGTTGGCTGAGGCCCTGGTCATTAGTTGCATTTGATCAGAACTGATCTGCATTTAACTGTAGAGAGCCACGCGTGCCTGCTGGCGGCCACACTGGGCAGAGTGGCTCATTAACTGAGGGGAGCTCCCGCCATGTCCTTTGGTGGGAGCTGGAGGAGCTAGAAGCCACTGAGGTAGCAGATCTGTGACCCTCGTCCTGTCTGGGGACCAGGCCTGAGGGAGGCAGAGAGGGCTGGAGAAGGCGGGCATTGCTGAGAGAGGGCAGACAGCCCCCTGTCTTCACTCACTTCCCTCTGGCCTCACTCTGGCGCTTCCTCTGCAGCAGGAAGCCCTGGAGGCCAGGTTTGTGGGGATAGAAGCCGCTGGAGGTTTTAGGCTGACATCTGCCATGCGCAGTCTATCCTGAGCGCTCACCTGAGCTCTCCTGGAGCCGGAGCTCCTAGCCTCACCGGGAGGGTCCCGGCCTTTGGGGCAGTGAGGGAGGCCGCCCGCTTCTGGGAGGCAGGAGGACCCAAGATAAGGGACAAAGGTGTTGGAATCCAGCCACACATGTTCTGCTTTGCATTTTCACAAGGATGCTTCCAGGAATGTCACGCGCTCTGCAACTAATTTTAGCGGAGCACAGTCTCCAGGCTGGTGGCGCTGACGGGGCGCAGAACTGAACATGAGGGCACCACTCTGGGCGTGGGGTTCACGGGACCCTGCAGGGTCGCTGTCCAGGCTTGTCTGGGGCCCTAGGGTGTAAGGCGCAGGGGCCTGAGCCCCAGAAAGTCCAGATCACAGTCGGGCAGGTCAGGGGAGGGTCATGGGAGTCCTGTGATGGGGCCAGGGCCCCCCACCCCAGGGAGGGCAGTTCTCCGTGTTGTCCCTCAGACACCCCCTGGCCTGTTTCCCTCTCTGTGCTGGGGACTGAGGAAGAGGGGGACCACCCCTGCCCCCGTCCCATGGCTGCAGAGGTGTGGGAGACTACACCCCATGTGACAGATGGGTGCAGATGCAAGGAGACTGACTGCTTGCCCCAAGTCCCAGCATCTGTCTCCCCAGCACATCCAGGACCACATGGGACACCCCTTGGCGGCCGTCGCCCTTTGAAACACCCCAGGGACTGTTCATGGGCATCTACAGCTCTGCCTTGTTCTGGTCACCGCCTCAGGCCCCCATGCATGCTAACAGCATGGTGGATGCATAGACGGGGTGCCCGGCCCCTGCTGAGAATCCTGGCCACACCGAGGGTGCTGTCCCCTACGGCCTTCTCCTGCCCTGGCTCAGAGGCTCCAGTATGGAAGCCAGGAGGGGAGCCCAAGCAGGGGGTGGGGCAGGAAGAACAGGCCACCAGAGGCCTAGGCCACCCGAGAGGTCCGTGTCCTGGGCGGACAGGCCCCCCTCCCCAGGCCACAAGACCTCGAAGGTCACCTAGCAGGAGATGCTTCCTTTCATCCTCAGGAGGGCCCCATGGGGGGCAGGACCTGAGACCCCCAGAGTAGGCGGGCCCCCAGTCCTTGCACACTGAGCCTTGGTCTGCCTGCAGCCCGGGCTGGGCCAGAGCTGCTGCCCACTACTGCCTGTTGGGACCTGGTCATCCTCAAAGCACCTGTGGGCGGTGGCTTGGGGGCCATGGAGGGGCTTTGGCAACCACTGTGTCCCAGCCTGTGCTGCTGTCCTCGGGCGAGACCAGGCCTCCGCACGGCTGAGTAACCAGCCTGTGTGCTGCCCGCTCCTCCTCCGTACAGGGCTCGAGTACCAGCGGCCGAAGCGGCAGGCTTCCAGCGACGACATCGAGGTGATCTCCATGGGGACGCCCCTGCAGCAGGAGAGCCCGGAGCTGTACCGCAAGGGCACCACCCCCTCGGACCTGACCCCCGATGACAGCCCCCTGCAGAGCTTCCCTGCCAGCCCCTCGGCCACCCCCCCACCAGCCCCTGCCTCCAGGAACAAGGTCGCCCACTTCTCGCGACAGGTGTCGGTGGACGAGGAGCGGGGCGGGGACATCCAGATGCTCCTGGAGGGCAGAGGAGGGGACTACGGCCGCCACAGCTGGGGCGAGGAGAAGGCCGGGGCCTCCAGGGGCGTCCGCAGCGGAACCCTCCGCAGTGGCCAGCCCGCGGAGGACTTCCGCACCCGGGGCTCGGGCCACAAGCAGCCCGGGAACCCCAAGCCCCGGGAGCGGCGGACGGAGTCGCCCCCTGCCTTCTGGACTTCCCACCCTCGGGCCAGCAACCCCAGCTCAGGGGGCGCCAAGCTGCTGGAGCTGGACGAGGAAAAGCTGAGCAACTATGAGATGGAAATGAAGCCCCTGCTGAGGGTGGACTCCCACGGGCAGGAGGCCTACCCCCAGAAGAGACGCTACAGTAGGGGGGCTGCCTGCCGGGACCTGGGCGAGGACGCGGGGCTCTGGGGCGCAGAGACTGAGATTCAAGTCTCAGCACAGAGAGAACGTCCGGCCGGCCATTAGCGCGGAGCCCGCGGTGCAGAGACTGGAGAACCTGCGGCTGGGCGACAGGGCCGAGCCCCGGCTGCTGCGCTGGGACCTGACCTTCTCCCCACCCCAGAAGTCCTCACCCGTAGCCCGGGAGTCCGACGAAAAGAACGAGGACGAGCTCAAGTCCAGCACGATGAGTGCCTTTCCGTGAAAGTGAGAACCCAGGTTCGACCCCCATCCGGAG